ATTTTTCAGCAGTAAGTTGTTTTGTTTGTTTGATGCTTCAGTCACCAAAAGGGAAATTTCTGCTTGACAGGAGGCCGTCCTGCTAGCAAATAGTAGGCTGTGAATGGGCCTTATTTGATGTTTTTCTTGGCGCCCAGGTGGTTGGTGTGGCCAAAGTTCTTCATGTGGCAATGATAGGGCAGGGGTGCAGGGAAGAATAGCACTTGGGGCAGGTCCTCTCGTCCCAGTTGTATTGCTGGGCGAGCTGCTGAGGGAAGGCTCCATGAAGCCACCCTTCAGGCAAAGCACCAAGTGCAGGGTGGACTCTGGATATTTTGGTCTGAGACAGTACGACCCTCCGCCAGCTCTTTGTCCATAAAACACAGATGCTGCTAGTCAGCTAAGATGCAGTCAGGGTCTTCACAAAGATCTGTGTCTCTGCATCCACTCAGCCACCCCCTTGGCAAGAGCAGCGATAAAGTTTTCAAAATTAATTAATTAAATTTATTTATTTGGTTGCACTGGGTCTTAGTTGTGGCAGTCAGGGTCCTTAGTTGTGGCGTGCATGTGGGATGTAGTTCCCTGACCAGGGATCGAACCCTGGCCCCCTGCATTGGGAGCACAGAGCCTTAACCACTGGACCACCAGGAAAGCCCCAAAGTATTTTTAAAAAATTTTTCTTTTATATTGGAGTATAGTTGATTAACATGTGTTAGTTCAGGTGTACAGCAGAGTGATTCCATTACACATATACATGTATCTATTCTTTTTCAAATTATTTTCCTATTTAGGTTATTACAGAGTACTGAGCAGAGTTCCTGTTATAGTCTACAGTATAGTGTAAATATAACTTCAGTATGTACTGTGACCCACTTTATTACAGTAACCACTTCTTTGCACTGGTCTGGAACTGAACACACAATATCTCTAAAGTATGCCTGCAGTTTTATTTCATAGGCCAGTATTACAAATGAAAGGTTCTGGTTCTTTGTTGCGGCAGGCGGGATCTTTAGTTGCCACATGCAAACTCTTAGTTGTGGCACGTGGGATCTATTTCCCTGACCAGGGAGTGAACCCTGGCCCCCTGCATTGGGAGCACGTAGTCTTAGCCACTGGACCACCAGGGAAGTCCCTATGAAGTTTTCTTAAGCCACAGAATTTTAAATTCAAGATTTTTTTCTGAAAGGCTCCATTCTATACCTGTCACAAAGTAAAAATCCTATTTGTCAGCTAGGATAGTTTTTACTTGTGAGTGAAAAACCACCTGGAAATTAGTAACTGAAAGAAGTAGGAAGTTTATCATTCTCATGTAACGGGAAGTCCAGAGGGTGCCACGTGGGATGTGATGGGTCCTCTGCTCCTTCTACCTCCATGACCATTTATTCTTCACTTTTTTTTCTGGCCATGCTGCGTGGCTTCCATGGTCTTAGTTCCCCCACCAGGGATCAAACCAGGCCCTTGCGGTGGAAGCTCCGATTCCTAACTGCTGGACCACCAGAAAATTCCCTCTTCACTTTCTTTATAGCAACATGGCTTCTTATGACTAAGAAGGGTGAAGATTGAGAGGCAAAGCCCTTTTAATTTTCAGATTTTGTCCCATTTTCATGAAAACAATAATTTTACGTTTTTCCGAATATTAGCTAATTTTAATAAGAAATGAGAATTTTTGAATTTCATATTTCCACCTCAAAAACAAAGAAAGGTAAAGGGAAAAGATGTTAGAAACAGATTTGTCCGCTGTCTTTGTTGTTTATCCTGAGAGTATAATATTCCATGCAATATGCTTAGTGACATAGAAATAGACTCACAGATAAAAAAAAAAATGTAGGTTATCAGTGGGGAGAATGAAGGGAGGAGGCGCAAGATAGCAATATGATATTAAGAGATCCAAACTACTAGGTATGAAATAGATAAGCAGGGACTTCCCTGGTGGCGCAGTGTTTAAGAATCCGCCTGCCAATGCAGGGGACACAGGATCAAGTCATGGGATCAAGCCTAGGTCCGGGAAGATCCCACATGCCGCGGAGCAACTAAGCCTGTATGCCAAAGCTACTGAGCCTGCACTCTAGAGCCCACGAGCCACAACTACTGAGCCCGCGTGCTGTAACTACTGAAGCCCAGGCACCTAGAGCCCGTGCTCTGCAACAAGAGAAGCCACTGTTATAAGAAGCCTGCGCACCACAACAAAGAGCAGCCCCTCCTCGCCGCAACTAGAGAAAGCACGCACGCAGCAATGAAGACCCAACGCAGCCAAAAATAAATAAATAAAATAAATAAATTAAAATAGATAAGCAATATCTTAAGTAACATATTGTGTAGCACAGGGATTCATAGCCATTATTTTGATAGAACTTCTAAGGAAGTATAACATTAAAATACTGTGTCACTATGCTGTATGCCTGCAACTAATATAAGTATTCCAACTAATATAGTATTGTAAATTCTCTTGGACTCAAGGTCATGTACATACCAGTTTGGAGATGGCCATACCAGTTTACCATAGGTATGATCCTGATGGGTCAAGAAATCTGCATTCCACTGTTATGATCATTTACCAGCGACTTTTGCACATTCAATAGGATTGGAGAGTGTAATTGCCCACACTGGAGCCTTAACAAAATTCACTCAATAGGCTTTAAATGATATTAATCAGGCTATTAGCCTACTGAATTCTGAGGTCTCTATGATGAGTAAGGCTGTGCTACAAAACTGCATGGCGGTTGACATCCTTAGGGCATCTCAGGGGAGCACCTGTGCCATAATTCAAACTGCATGCTGTGTTTTCATACCCGATGAATCCTCTGATATAACACATTTAATGAACCATATGAAAAGTCAGATTTCAGCCTTAAAGTGACCCATTCCCTCGTCTTGACTTCTTCAAAATCTGGTTTGGCGTAGGAAGCTCTTGGCTTAAATATTTACTTATAATTCTATCAATGCTACTTGCTATATTCTATTTTGCCTGTTTCAGAAGGCGATTGTTTCTTGTATTACCAAATGTGTGACTGAGCCTCTGATAAAAATAATGATGAGTAGGTGACCTGAAGGACTTGACCGGATACATAGTTTTTATGAGATCAATGACTGTAACAGTGTAACTCTAGACATGGGAAGAAGCAACAAGAGGGATTTTTTTTCCCCGTGTACCATAACAGAATAGTAAGACAGGTGGTCCAGAGACGTTTTGCTGTTAATAAGGCCTAGTCCAGTAATAGCGCAGTGAGTGGCCTATCAATAAAATCCTTCCCCTTGGGCTTCCCTGGTGGCGCAGAGGTTGAGAGTCCGCCTGCCGATGCAGGGGACACGGGTTCGTGCCCCGGTCTGCGAAGATCCCACATGCCGCGGAGTGGCTGGGCCCGTGAGCCATGGCCGCTGAGCCTGCGCATCCGGAGCCTGTGCTCCGCAAAGGGAGAGGCCAGAACAGTGAGAGGCCCGCGTACCACACACACACACACAAAATCCTTCCCCGACCTAGGAATGAGCATTCCTAGCACCATGCTATGAAATGGTCCTGAAATGCCTCCCGAACAGGTTTGAACTTATGGCCATGAGGGGGCGCTGCAAACTAAACTTGGAACTTGCCATCTGACTCTACAAGGCTTAAATCAATAGCTGGTGCAGTGGGTGACCTTCAAGACACCCTAAAAGTATTTTAGGGTGGAGATCAGGAATGAAGCACTCTGTGCACTGTAAAAACGGTCAGAACAGGCCTTGGGATATTTAGATATTTTCAGGAGAAGATTTTATGAGCCCAAATTCTTGAATCTCCTCGTATCTAGATAAGCACTAAATCATTAATGGAGACATCTGCACATCATGACTAGCAGTAATCTCCACAAGACTGGTAGCAACATTCTGCAAAAATGTGTGCTTGATTGCATGTATCCCCTTTCACCAAAATAACAGTTATCGTGACTTTCTCCCCCTACCTCTTCAGACCAGTTCCTCAAAGCTATCTGAGACTGTCTCCTGGGGTATAGTCCTCATTTTGCCCCAAATAAAACAACGCACACCTCTCGCGTTGTGCATTTTTTCCAGTCGACATTCTTATAAAAAGAAAAATATTTTTTCCGTTTTTTTTTTCTTTCTCTTTTTATGGTACCTATATGGGGTGATGGATGCTTACTAAACTTATTGATAACTATTTCAACACATGAAAGTCAGAACATTATGCTGTACACCTTAAATTCATACAGTGATGTATGTCAAGTACATCTCAATAAAACTGGGGGGAAAAGTTTTAAGAGGCAAATAAAACACTTTGGGGAAAAAAGAAAAAAATGAACAATGCAATTTACAACAAATTTTTACAGTGTATTGCTCTTTTTAAAGCAATGGTTAGTGACGGAAATTATCACACGGCTTAGTCCTCCAGTCTCAAGACTCCGGGATTTGTCCCTGAGCCTCTGGAACTGACACGTGTTGTCATTCGGCCTCATTCGGCCACCTGGCTGAATGAGAAACAGAAAGGAAAAACTGTTCGGTAGGGTGTCAGCATGAATGGGCCATTCTACACAGGGAAAGTTTTGTATCTTCCATTCTAGTTTGTAATATAGAGCCAAGTCCAGCTCTTCTTTCCTTCAACTGCCTAAATTAATTCTAATTGCAGGAATTGTTCCGGGATGGAACTAGCGCCCCACAGCTACCACTTGGAGACCCACGTTCCCAACCACTGAATTGTTTGAGCCGCAGGAGCGGGACGTGAGAGAATCCTGCTCTCACCCTTTTTACTGAAATCGTTTTCAACTTCTCAGGAGGAAACATCTTAGTTTCAGACACAACTGAAAGCTTTTATCTTAAACCTGTTCCAGATAAGAACTTAAGACGAGCGTTTTCAGGGTACATAAAAGTACCGTTACCCGCCCCGCCTCCAGACGCCGGCTGAGCCGGGAGGAGGGTTAGGGCCCTCCTCCCGCAGCCTCTCATCTGTAGCGCTCCGCCCAGGCCGCGCTCCCGGAAGTTCCGCCTGTAAGTCTGCGCGTGCGCAATTTCTTACAGAACCGGAAGTTTAACTCTCGGAACGACGATCGCTGTGCGGGGCGTAAATTTTTCTAGTGTAAATCTGTGCTACGTGGTCCCCCCTTACTCCATCCTCAGGGTCTCGGAGTCACTTCAGACCTAAAATCCCATCACCCGGCCCTACGCCCGAAGTAAATCCAGACGTCGCCGATACAGGTCGGGTATGTTTTCCTTTGGGTTTGAATTCGTTCTGAGGCTGGTCGGTTCTCTTGGCTTTTCCGCCTTCGGTCCAGGTAGACACCTTCATTCGCGACATTTTCCTGTTTAAAACCCTTTAGTACCTCCGCCCTCCCCCTCGCCCCTCCATGTAACGTCCTCTTACGCGAGGTGGATGCACGCCGCACACCCCCCCCCCCAACCCCCAGCCTCACCCTCTCAGCCCCTGGAGGGCAGGCGGGTCGCCCCGCAGAGGTGTCTTCCTGGTCCTGGGATTCTGGGGAGCCCGCCCGTCTCCTGAGACCCACTCTCTCCCTCTCAGCCCCTCTGCCCTCGCGTCTCCTCGGGTCTGTCCTTCTGCCCCACAGGCCTCCCTTTCGTAGTCAGCCCTTCCTCTCACCCTGCGTTGGGGGAGGTGACCTGGGCCAGCCTAGTGACACCCATAGTTCTATCATCTCAAATTCCACCCGATGGAAAATGGTCTCTTGCGGTTGGCGGGCATCTTATTCAGTCTCCATCCCTGTAAATATGTTGGCGAGGCGACCAGGAGAAGCAGAGACAGAGAGACTGAGAGAGAAATAGAACAACTGAGGCAAAAGAATGAGGGAGCATCGTTAGGAACATAGAGGATGCTGAGCGACTTGTAAATAGACTGTAAAATAAAAGCGATTATGCCTTGAAAGGAGCAAGTGAATGAAATAGAGAAGTATATAAAAAGCTGGATGTCCAGAGTTTGACATAGAGCAGCATAGAGAGAGGGGCTCTGGATTACCGGTAGCGGGTGGCTAACAGTGGTGAGGCCCTTCACACAGAGAGTCGGAGAGAGGATAAAATGTGGACCCATGGCCTTCGTAGCATTATGGTGCTGGGAGAGTATGAGGGATGACAAGGGATGATAAGAAGAGCAGAAGAAGAGGGAGAGCTGGAAGGAAGCACAGCCACTTGCCATGCCAGAGAGTGGGGAGGAAGGGAGAGTAACAGGGATAGAAGGGGTGTAACCTGGAGGGCAGAGAGGGAGCACAGAAAAGGGAAGAGAGAGGCAGAAATACATAGAGATTTAGGACAATCAGGAAGGGTGGAGAGAGAGAACATCAAGAGGGGGAACAGGTTGCAGAGTGGGGCAGGACAGGTGGGAGAAAAGAAATAGAGAGGAGGGCAGGAACAGCAGGAGAGCGGAGGGGAAGAGAAAGAGAAAGAAACAGGGAGACCCAGACAGAATGAAATGGAAGCACATAGTAGTGCAGATAGAAGGGGGGAAACTGGATGCAGTCACAGTGTATTCCTCATATGTACAGAATTTTTATTCATCGGTTATATATCTATAAATCTGGAAAAGAAAAAGAAAGTGGGAGGTGTGCTGGGCTTGCTTCCTGTCAGTGGTGCTCAATCCAGACTTCACATTAGATTGATAAGGCATTTTGCATATGCGTGTTTTCTACCCCCTGACTAGAGATTTCCCTTCCTATCGTCAGTGTGGTGTGCAGCCTCAGTAGTACTTAACGTGCCCGAAGTGATTGCAGTCTGGAGCCGTCACTGAACATCAGGACTCTGAGTCCCCCCATTCCTGAGGGCTGAGATCTGGGCTGAGGGTGAGGGCTCTGCTCTGCGTGGGGATGGATCAGGGCTGGTCTGTGACCTGAAGGGGATCGTGGGTCCAGCTGAGGTGCCCGCTGCTGCTGGGTACGTGAGGGCCTCACCAGGAGGGGAGCGAGATCTGAAGAAAGGGTGGAAAACTCACTGGTTGGTCTCTGTGTGGGAGTTACTGTCCTGAGCCCCTCCTGGGACAGTGGGCAGCAGAGGACCGTCTGTTCCACATGCTGAGGGCTTCCCTGTGTGTGTGGTGGTGACTCAGGAAGGGGGTGTGTTGATTCTAAGCATTAAGCAGCCTGTTTCCAGCTTTGAAGATCGACCTCTAAAGACTCACATCGTCTGAGGAAGAAGCCCAGAAGAGGAGGGAGAGGAAAGAAAAGGAGTCAGAAATGGCTCTTTCTCAGGTAATGTCATATTCTCAGTTGATTTTTCTGATTTTTCTGATTTTCCTCAGATGCCCTTATTTGGACTCGGTAAACTTGTCTGACTCTGAAGTATCCCGCCTGACACCTGTACATTTACACCCACCCAGGTCCTTCCCTCAGGGCCTGTCATCTCCACTTAGATCCCGTCTCCCCATGACCCAGTGACCTGGAACTTGTGAAGAGGCTCCACTGGGTGTAGTCCTGGGCAGGGCTTCACACCCATGGATTAGAGACATGGTGTCAATGCTACTGGGCAGCAGGGATTGCTTAGGGCCCCATCAGGATGCACTGTCTGCTCTCTGTAAACCAGGATAAAGAAGCTGCATATGGAAGTCACGTATTAATATGCACAATAGTAGGGTAAAATCTGAAAGATAGACCAGTAAGTGGAAATTCTTTCTGACATTTTCCAGGCAATTGAAGCTAAATGACTGAGTCACTTTGTTCTAATCCTAATGATTGAGAAGGAAATGGAATGGAAATTCAGAAGCAAACTTCAGTGATAATGGGTGTTTTATTGCTTCATTGAATTTAAACTGTGAAATCAACCTAAATTTCTGACAGTTGGAAATTCTTTAAGTCACTTTCATCACTCCATTCCTCAGAAGTTATCTTTTTTTTTTTTTAAAGAAGATGTTGGGGGTAGGAGTTAATTAATTAATTTATTTTTGCTGTGTTGGGTGTTCGTTTCTGTGCGAGGGCTTTCTCTAGTTGCGGCAAGCGGGGGCCAGTCTTCATCGCGGTGCGCGTGCCTCTCAGTATCGCGGCCTCTCGTTGCAGAGCACAGGCTCCAAACGCGCAGGCTTAGTAGTTGTGGCTCACGGGCCTGGTTGCTCCGCGGCATGTGGGATCCTCCCAGACCAGGGCTCGAACCCCTGTCTCCTGCATTAGCAGGCAGATTCTCAACCACTGCGCCACCAGGGAAGCCCAGAAGTTGTCTTTTTACTGTGTGTGTTATATGCTTTTACAGACAGAAGTGTTTTTTTTTTTTTTTTTTTTTGCGGTACGCGGGCCTCTCACTGTTGTGGCCTCTCCCGTTGCGGAGCACAAGCTCCAGACGCGCAGGCTCAGCCGCCATGGCTCACGGGCCCAGCCGCTCCGCGGCATGTGGGATCTTCCCGGACCAGGGCACGAACCCGTGTCCCCTGCATCGGCAGGCGGACTCTCAACCACTGCGCTACCAGGGAAGCCCATGCAACTGATTTTTGCGTGCTCATTTTTTATGCTGCAACTTTTCTAACGTTGCTCTTTGGAGTAGTAGCTTTCTCTTGGAATCTTTTTGATTTCTACATATAAAACTCGTCACCTAAAAATAAGATAATTTTACTTCTTTTTCAGTTTGGATAACTTTCAGTTTTTTCTTGGTGTCCAATGGCTCTGTCTGGGACGTTCAGTAGTTTCTTGAACAGTAGGGTGGAATGTGCATCTTTCTCCTTTTTGTTGTAATCATTTAGCAGTGTGAACTTCCCCTTTAGTACCGCTTTCACTGTCTGTTAGAAATTTTCATATGTAGTCTTTTTGTTTTCATTCAAGTATTCTTACATTTTCCTTGTGATTTCTTCTTTGGTGATTGCTTCTTTAAGAATGAGCTGTGTAATGTCCACATTTGGCAGATTTTCCTGTTTTGCTTCTGCTTTCTATTTGTAATTTTATTTCCTTGTGTTTAGAGAAGATACTCTTTATGATCTCAGTCTTCTCGAATTTGTTCAGATTTGTTTTGTGGGAGATGTGGTCTGTCCTGGAGAATGTTTTATGCATGTTGGGGAAGGCTGTGTTTTCTGCTGCTGTTGTTGGGTGGAGTGTTCTGTACATGTCTGTTAGGTACAGTTGTACTGTAGTGTTTTTCAAGTCCTCTGTTAACTTATTGATCTTTTTTTTCTTTCCATGTGTAGGTAAACCCAAGATATTGAAATCTGATACTAGTATTGTGCTATCTATTTCTCTCTTTATTTCTGTTAAGATTTGCTTCATTTTAGGGCGAGCAATGTTGTTAGATGTATACATATTTATAATTGTTCTAGCTTTTGGTAATTTTACCCCTTTACGGTTATATAATGTATTTTGTCTCGTGTTTGTGTACTTATTTTATTTTGTCTGATATAATGTAGTCACCCCTGCTGTCATTAGGATGGAATTTTTTTTTTCCTTTCACTTTTCGCCCTTCCAAGTCCTTGTATTTGTGAATGTTAACAGTTCCAACTCTGACACACTCTCTCTGTGTTTCTTGTTCTCTGTTTTCCTCCTGTTACTTCCTCTAGTGGTCCCTGCTCAGGCACACTGTACAGTGATGAAAGGCAGGAGCCCTGGCCAGCCCCCTTCACGCCACTGTAACTTCAGAGAGAATGCACTATTTCCTTCTTCTTGTTTTTTAATTAAAAAAATTTTTTTTGGCTGCACCTCGTGGCATGTGGGATCTTAGTTCCCCGACCCCGGATCCAACCCATGCCCCGTGCAGTGGAAGCATGGAGTCTTAACCACTGGACCACCAGGGAAGTCCTGAGTGTTTCCTTCTTATTTTCTTCTTATCGTATCATTAGGTGAAGTGTTCTTGCTTAATTACATTTTTTCCATATTCTTATTTATCATGACTTTTAATTCTCCAGGAATTGTTAACTTTATTTTTGTGATAATTTGTTTCTTAATCTGTGGAAATTATGCATAATACTAATAAAATGTATAATGTTGCATCAATGTTTTATTAGTAGGAAAAACAAACATTTTATGGCTTTTGTTAATGCCTGCTTATGTATGTTTAAATGGAGAAAAATGGTATGTATATTTTTGAATATAATTATTTTATTGAGATTGCCCTTAAAGTATTCTGTTTGTTTCATGTTAGTACCACTTAGTAGAGTTGATACTTTTTCATCTCGCCAAAAATTCTGATATTCAAATGAATAAAAATGAGTAGTAAAAAAAAAGCAAAAATATGTCCTGAGACAACACCCCTCATTGTGACTTTTGTTTAAAGCCACTGTGGCCTTTGTCATTTCTGAACTCACAGTTCATACCCGTAACTCATCTAGATATTGAATATCACTTAGTTTTTTTTTTTTTTTTTTTTGCGGTACGCGGGCCTCTCACTGCTGTGGCCTCTCCCGTTGCGGAGCACAGGCTCCGGACGCGCAGGCTCAGCGGCCATGGTTCTCGGGCCCAGCTGCTCCGCGGCATGTGGGATCTTCCCGGACCGGGGCACAAACCCGTGTCCCCTGCATTGGCAGGTGGACTCTCAACCACTGCGCCACCTGGGAAGCCCTCATTTAGTGTTTAAAACATAATGTGTAATGCTTCTGCATAGACGATGAATTATTGAATTTTATTTGTATGTATTATATTTCATGTATTGTCCACAAATATGAAAAAATCCACATTAATTGTAAGATATCATAATTTTATGAGAAAGCATAAGAAAGAAAACTTAGAGATGTACAATTTGCTCTGAATCCCTTTACATAGATCTGTCAGAATACATACTTCAACTGAATTGATCCTTACTCTTCTCTTGTCATTTGGTGTGAAAATGAGAACTCTCCTCAGGGCCCCTTGGTGAAATGTGTTTTCATTTCAGGGACCGTTAACATTCAAGGATGTGGCCATAGAATTCACTGAGGAGGAGTGGGAATGCCTGGACCCTGCCCAGAGGGCCTTATACAGGGATGTGATGTTGGAGAACTACAGGAACCTGATCTCCGTGGGTGAGGATAATTTCCCTCTAGATGTTGCTATCTGCCCTTGGGTATCTTTGCATTTTCCCTTCTGTGCCTCTTGGAAGCACCTGTTTTTCTTGACTGATCTAAAATGCCTGCTGACGGAGATACTAAAACCTTCAGGATACAGCATCAGGAGTTTAAATTTTTATTTAGTTATTTACTTTATGGCCTCACTGCACAGCACGGCATGTGTGATCTTAGTTCCCCGACCAGGCCTCAAACCTGCGGACCCTGCAACCCTGCATTGGAAGCACGGTGTCTTAAGCACTAGACCGCCAGGGAAGTCCTGGCATCAGTTTAAACCTAACTTTCCTCAGATGATCTGCCCACTTCATGATACATTAAGAGATGTTTTAGAGCTTACATATTTACAAAGTTCATCGGAAATTTTGGACATACCCACTTCCATGTTTCCTACCCATGTACTTTTGTGATAGGAGTAGTAAGTGAGCTGCATTTCTTTTTTTTTTTTAATTTAATTTTATTTATTTTTTTATACAGCAGATTCTTATTAGTCATCCATTTTATACACATCAGTGTATACATGTCAATCCCAATCTCCTAATTCATAACATCACCACCCCCACCCCCTGCCGCTTTCCCCCCTTGGTGTCCATACGTTTGTTCTCTACATCTGTGTCTCAATTTCTGTCCTGCAAACCAGTTCATCTGTGCCATTTTTCTAGGTTCCACATATATGCGTTAATATACGATATTTGTTTTACTCTTTCTGATCTCCTTCACTCTGTATGACAGTCTCTAGATCCATCCACGGCTATACAAATGACCCAATTTCGTTCCTTTTTATGGCTGAGTAATATTCCATTGTATATATGTACCACATCTTCTTTATCCATTTGTCTGTCAATGGGCATTTAGGTTGCTTCCATGACCTGGCTATTGTAAATAGTGCTGCAGTGAACATTGGGGTGCATGTGTCTTTTTGAATTGTGGTTTTCTCTGGGTATATGCCCAGTAGTGGGATTGCTGAGTTATATGGTAATTCTACTCTAGTTTTTTAAGGAACCTCCGTACTCTTCTCCATAGTGGCTGTATCAATTTAAATTCCCACCAAGTGTGCAAGAGAGTTCCCTTTTCTCCACACCCTCTCCAGCGTTTGTTGCTTGTAGATTTTCTGATGATGCCCATTCTAACTGGTGTGAGGTGATACCTCATTGTAGTTTTGATTTGCATTTCTCTAATAATTAGTGATGTTGAGCAGCTTTTCATGTGCTTCTTGGCCATCTGTAAGTCTTCTTTGGAGAAATGTCTATTTAGGTCTTCTGCCCATTTTGGGATTGGGCTGTTTGTTTCTTTAATATTGAGCTGCATGAGCTGTTTATATATTTTGGAGATTAATCCTTTGTTGATTCATTTGCAAATATTTTCTCCCATTTTGAGAGTTGTCTTTTCGTCTTGTTTATGGTTTGCTTTGCTGTGCAAAAGCTTGTTTCATTAGGTCCCATTTGTTTATTTTTGTTTTTATTTCCATTTCTGTAGGAGGTGGATCAAAAAAGACCTTGCTGGGATTTATGTCAAAGAGTGTTCTACCTATGTTTTCCTCCAAGAGTTTTATAGTGTCCGGTCTTACATTTAGGTGTTGAATACATTTTGAGTTTATTGTTGTGTATGGTGTTTGGGAGTGTTCTAATTTCATTCTTTTACATGTAGCTGTTCAGTTTTCCCAGCACCACTTATTGAAGAGACTGTCTTTTCTCCATTGTATATCCTTGCCTTCTTTGTCATAGATTAGTTGACCATAGGTGCGTGGGTTTACATTTGGGCTTTCTAACTTGTTCAATTGATCTGTATTTTTGTTTTTATGCCAGTACCATATTGTCTTGATTACTGTAGCTTTGTAGTATAGTCTGAAGTCAGGGAGTCTGATTCCTCCAGCTCTGATTTTTTCTGTCAATACTGCTTTGGCTGTTCAGGGTCTTTTGTGTCTCCATACAAATTATAAGATGATTTGTTCTAGTTCTGTAAAAAATGCCATTGGTAATTTGATAGGGATTGCATTCAGTCTGTAGATTGCTTTGGGTAGTATAATCATTTTCACAGTATTGAGTTTTCCAGTCCAAGAACATGGTATATCTCTTCATCTGTTGGCATCATCTTTGATTTCTTTCATCAGTGTCTTATAGTTTTCTGCATACAGGTCTTTTGTCTTCCTAGGTAGGTTTATTCCTATGTATTTTATTCTGTTTGTTGTAATGGTAAATGGGAGTGTTTCCTTAATTTCTCTTTCAGATGTTTCATCATTAGTGTATAGGAATGCAAGAGATTTCTGTGCATTAATTTTGTATCATGCAACTTTACCAAATTCATTGATTAGCTCTAGCAGTTTTCTGGTGGCATCTTTAGGATTCTCTGTGTATAGTATCATGTCATCTGCAAACAGTGACAGTTTTACTTCTTCTTTTCCAATTTATATTCCTTTTATTTCTTTTTCTTCTCTAATTGCCGAGGCTAGGAGTTCCAAAACTATGTTGAATAGTAGCGGTGAGAGTGGACATCCTTGTCTCGTTCCTGATCATAGAGGAAATGCTTTCAGTTTTTCACCATTGAGAATGATGTTTGCTGTGGCTTTGTCATATATGGCCTTTATTATGTTGAGGTAGGTTCCCTCTGTGCCCACTTTCTGGAGAGTTTTTATCATAAATGGGTGTTGAATTTTGTCAAAAGCTTTTTCTGCATCGATTGAGATGATCATGTGGTTTTTTTTCTTTAATTTATTTTATTTGTATTTATTTTTGGCTGCATTGGGTCTTTATTGCTGTGCGTGGGCTTTCTCTAGTTGCGGCGAGCGGGGGCTACTCTTGATTGTGGTGCACAGGCTTCACTGTGGTGGCTTCTTTTGTTGTGGAGCACGGGCTCTAGGCGTGCGGGCTTCAGTAGTTGTGGCACACGGGCTCAGTAGTTGTGGTTCACAGGCTCTAGGGCACAGGCTCAGTAGTTGTGGCACGTGGGCTTAGTTGCTCCACGGCATGTGGATCTTCCCAGACCAGGGCTCGAACCTGTGTCCCCTGCATTGGCAGGCAGATTCTTAACCACTGCACCACCAGGGAAGCCCAGTCATGTGGTTTTTATTCTTCAATTTGTTAATATGGTGTATCACATTGATTGATTTGCATATATTGAGGAATCCTTGCATCCCTGGGATAAATCCCATTTGATCATGGTGTATGATCCTTTTAATGTGTTGCTGGATTCTGTTTGCTAGTATTTTGTTCAGGATTTTTGTATCTGTGTTCATCAGTGATATTGGTCTGTAATTTTCTTCTTTTGTAGTATCTTTGTTTGGTTTGGGTATCAGGGTGATGGTGGCCTCATAGAATGAGTTTGGGAGTGTTCCTTCCTCTGCAATTTTTTGGAAGAGTTTGAGAAGTGTGGGTGTTAGCTCTTCTCTAAATGTTTGTTAGAATTCACCTGTGAAGCCATCTGGTCCTGGACTTTCGTTTGTTGGAAGATTTTTAATCACAGTTTCAATTTCATTACTTGTGATTGGTCTGTTCATATTGTCTATTTCTCCCTGGTTCAGTCTTGGCAGGTTATAGGTTTCTAAGAATTTGTCCATTTCTTCCAGGTTGTCCATTTTATTGGCATAGCGTTGCTTGTAGTAGTTTCTTGGGATGCTTTGTATTTCTGCGGTGTCTTTTGTAACTTCTCCTTTTTATTTCTAATTTTATTGATTTGAGTCCTCTTCCTCTTTTTCTTGATGAGACTGGCTAATGGTTTATCAATTTTGTTTATCTTCTCAAGGAACCAGCTTTTAGTTTTATTGATCTTTGCTATTGTTTTCTTTGTTTCTATTTCATTTATTTCTGCTCTGATCTTTATGATTTCTTTCCTTCTGCTAACTTTTGGTTTTGTTTGTTCTTCTTTCTCTAGTTCTTTTAGGTGTAAGGTTAGATTGTTTATTTGAGATTTTTCTTGTTTGTTGAGGTAGGCTTGTATAGCTATGAACTTCCTTCTTGGAACTGCTTTTGCTCCATCCTATAGGTTTTGGATCATCATGTTTTCATTCTCATTTGTCTTTAGGTATTTTTTGGTTTCCTCTTTGATTTCTTCAGTGATCTCTTGGTTATTTAGTAACGTATTGTTTAGCCTCCATGTGTTTGTGTTTTTTATGTTTTTTTCCCTGTAATTGATTTCCAATCTCATAGCATTGTGGTCAGAAAAGATGCTCGATATGATTTTCATTTTATTAAATTTACTGAGGCTTGATTTGTGACCAAAGATGTGATCTATCCTGGAGAATGTTCCATGCGTTCTTGAGAAGAAAGTGTAATCTGCTGTTTTTGGATGGAATGTCCTATAAATATCAATTAAATCTCTCTGGTCTATTGTGTCATTTAAAGCTTGTGTTTCCTTCTTTATTTTCTGTTTGGATGATCTGTCCATTGGTGTAAGTGAGGTGTTAAAGTCCCCCACTATTATTGTGTCACTGTCGATTTCCTCTTTTATAGCTGTTAGCAGTTGCCTTATGTATTGAGGTGCTCCTATGTTGGGTGCATATATATTTATAACTGTTACATCTTCTTCTTGCATTGATCCCTTGATCATTATGTATTGTCCTTTCTTGTCTCTTGTAACATTCTTTATTTTAAAGTCTACTTTATCTGATATGAGTATTGCTACTCCAGCTTTCTTTTGATTTCCATTTGCATGGAATATCTTTTTCCATCCCCTCACTTTCAGTCTGTGTGTGTCCCTAGGTCTGAAGTGGGTCTCTTGTAGGCAGCATGTATATGTGTCTTGTTTTTGTATCCATTCAGCAAGCCTGTGTCTTTTGGTTGGAGCATTTAATCCATTCACGTTTAAGGTAATTATTGATATGTATGTTCCTGTGACCATTTTCTTAATCGTTTTGGGTTTGTTTTTGTAGGTCCTTTTCTTCTCTTGTGTTTCCCACTTAGAGAAGTTCCTTTCACATTTGTTGTAGAGCTGGTTTGGTGGTGCTGAATTCTCTTAGCTTTTGCTTG